AAGCTAAGACCTGGCATGAGGGTATGAAAACTCTGACCAGGAGACTGGCTCACACAGGTCCTGTTAGACTGCCTGGCTGGGGACCCAGATATCATGGTTACCGGTGGTTAGAGACACTGAGCGATATGGCTGGGTGTCGCAAACAGTAGCGCTCGAGCGTCTACTCACTATTCTCCTGGCACCACTGTATATGAACTCTCGATCTTTAACTTGAATTTACTTCCGGCATTACAGTTTTCTTTCAGCTCTTTTATCCAAATGGGGCACCAAAAGACAGCAATCAAAACCGGAGCAGGAAAGTGCATGGTTAATAGGTGTAAAACCTGGAACTGAAACTGCCGAGGTACGCGACTGTCCCACTGCATTTGATTAACGTCTCTGCCACTGTAACCAATCTGGTTCGAGTATTGTGAGCTTTGACCTCCAAATTGATGAATTTCTCTTCCCCGTGTATGTTTGCATGTTCCTAAGCTTGTTGCGCTACTACTATTGTTTTTACTGCACACACCGTGTGATGAACAGCAGACGCAGCGGACCCTAAAGTCACTCCATTGATGGAAACCGGTAACTTAATTTCGGGGACTTGAAGTGGCGAACCACATAAGGCCCCACTAGTTTAGACGTGGTGTTGAATCGGACGACAGCTAAGATTACTTGGAGGTAGGATGCTGATGAAATCGCCTCGAAATAGTTGAGTTAAACGCATCAGCTAGTCAAAGAATTATAAATAGAACTGGTAGCATGCACTTCTCAAACTCCAACGTGGACACTCGCTTCTTTCTGAGCCCATTTGTTCACATCCGAATCGGTCCGATCTAAAGAAAACGTTTTTGTCATTTTTGCAACAGCACATTGTGCAGGCCGCAGTCATACACTACTGCGGTGATGGTGGTCGTTTTATTCACGTCACTAACAATTAACTTAAAATTGAGATAATGAAGTCCATGTAGAGCAACAGAAACCATGATGTACTTAGGAGCTACGGATGAGGCTTACTGATATTGGGAGAGTTCAGAATGGATTCTTTTCAGAGAAAGTTTCAGCACGTTTTTGATGATGTAGTAGATCTATATCTATCAAGGTAAATACCCCAGACAGTTATAATGTGTCCGAAAAATCACGCCAGAAATACACCCAGGCAGTCAGCTGACAAACCATATAAAACAAATGTGGAGTGTGTGGGAGGCGGTGGTGTACAGAAGTGTCCCCTTACCTGAATGTATGCTTTGTTTGGATCAGCCAACTCACGATTGTACGCGTATTCGGTCAGCAAATCCACAGCATCCTGACCATATTTGTTTCGGTACAATGTGAGCAACTCGTTACACATTCCACCTAGTTTTTGACATGCGTTTGTCCGATATATGAACGATTTGTTGGCCAATGATTCGAAGAGCTGTGTTGGAAAACCAAAAGAGCATAGGAAAAACGGATTAGAAAAAGGAGTAGATATGCGCAACTAAGCAGTGAAGCCAGATGAACCACATTCCCTGGTGGTTAGGAATTCTGAAGAAAAAATCCAAAACTCAAATAAACTGATTCAAATAGTCTCGGACAGTGTGCGATCAGGACCATGATGCGAATTTAACAAATGCACGTGGACACAATGACCGAGAAGCGAAAACGTACATGACGGGAAGACGATGCACAAACCCTAAGATTCAACCACAGTTATATTTACTGAAAAATTGGGTGTATTTACGGGAGCTAAACGAATCGCGTTTAATAAAATAAACCACGCTGGTGAAACTCCGACAAGCCTGTAGGAGTAATTGGGGGGAAACGACGTTGGCGATACCCAGTTTCCGGTCTCTCAGTCCTGGTTTTCTAACTCGACGTGTTGGCGATAAAAAAAGATTCCAAAATGAAAGCAGAAAGACAGACTAGAATTTTTCAACACTGAATTTCCGCTAGTGGTACATGGACGTCGAGCGTGAGACAGGCTATGGCTAATCGACGAGAAGATCCGAACCTACAGAACATGTATACAGAGACGCGATCACGCAATGTGCGATCAACAGGTAGGGCAATCACGTTTGCAACCAGACTCCGGTAGGCGGTGTCAGTAGTACGAAACGAAACTGGGTTGTGAAAACCAATTTACTCCATGCCGTATCCCCCTGCAGGTATGGAGAAACAGGAGGCGGCTTCGGTTATTCCGACGCGGTTCCATAGTACATTGGCAAACGCAGTGTGCAAAAGCTATCGACCTGGGAAGTAAACGAAAATAGTGGGTTCTACCGGTGAAAATGGCAGAGAAAATATCAAGTTGTGCTGCACACCTTGAGCGTGGATTCGATTTCAGGCAAACTGTTTTCCACTGGGGAAAGAAAATTAGTTGTAAAAAGAGGTACCGACCGGGGGTGGGGAGAAAATTTCTAATGGGATAAATAGGAATGGTAGCATGACACGAAATTCGATCCATGTGTATTACGAGATTCAGAGTGACGTATATGGAACCAGGACAAATGTATTTGCAGAAGTGTGATCTAGTTATTGAGCGAAAACCCCAAGAGAATATATATTGCGAGGATGCAGTGGAACAATTTTCAACAAAACTAAAGGTATTTTCTACCATCGGATCAGCATAAGAGGACATGATGAATGTTCGAGTTTCGGTTCAACTGTGTACGATAATCAGCGGAACAATTTGAAGTCCATTATTATGCGATGCAAGCTGTACAGACGACATATTATGTTTTGTGGACCGTAACACCAAGATGTCCGACTTGTTCAGGGTATTTAACTCCGCTCATCCCAACATCAAGTTCACCCTGGGAGAAGAGATTAATGGCGGGATCGGTTTCCTCGACATCTGGCTAAAGTGTCGCACAGATAGTTCTATTCAGAGATCGATTTATAGGAAATCGACTTGGAGCGGCCAGTATATACATTTCAGAAGTTTGATGCCACCCAAACGAAAAAGAAAGCTGATTCAATGTTTGGTAAACCGGGTGGTAAAAATATGCACTGATGACAAATGCGAAACTACCATTATTCCGTGATGTTTTCCTACAAAATGGTTATCCCGGACGTTTCAGGGATAATTTTTTACGAAATAACCATCCGGTAGAAAGACTCTTGAGCGCAGAGAAGAAGCCAGTATGCATCTCTCTNCCATTCAAAGGAGGTACAATCGTGGAGTTGATTAGTTGCAAACTAAGAACTGCGTTAGTCAATACTTTCCATGCAGCAAAATTACGTGTCCAATTCATGTCGAAACAGATCATGTGTTCGCAACTCAAAGACAAGATTCCTGCTTCTACAGCCTTATTTTGTGTGTACTTGTTCATATAGTTCAATGTATATCAGCCGCACGAGCAGGCGCACACAAGAGTTCGGAAGCATCATCCAGCCTGGCTGAACACTGGTGTTGTTAAAACTATTATTACAAGTGCCATCGTTTCACACCTCGCCGAGTCTGATCTCATAGTGAGTGCGACTGAAGCATTTCCGACTCTCTATCGTGTTCGGGGTCGCAGATCAAAGCCGATTAAACACCGCATCCTGACCATCACAGAGGCGATTGGAATTCGTCTACATAATCCCTCCTTGTGCACCCCAAAACAATTTGTGGAGTCACTCAACTTACCATGGCCCTCCACCTCCCGTCCTCATCCTTTTCCTCCTCCCCCTCTCCTCATCATCCCACCCCCTAATCACACTCGTAACACGGACCAAGCGTAAGTTCCGACGGTAGGATCAGTCATATCCGATTTGTAAAACTGAGACAGAAAACAACAACAACAACAAAACGCTATTTGAATAATCATCAATTGTATTCCTCTTTTCTATACAAAATGAGGTTATATAAAATATGAGTAACCGAAAGCAAGTTTATTCGCTAAACTGCGTCTTCATTCAATGTGTGCCGGGAATTTGTGAATAATGGTAGAAAAGTGTTTGTTAGCACTGCACTGAATGTTGCTCATGAGAGAAAAATAACAATTCACAGCGATGGACTCCAACGTACCCGATATTTTCAGTTAATGAAGATTTAATCTCTATTTGCAGTAAGTCAGAGACAAAGAAAGACAATAAGCACAGTCAACCATCCAAGATAGTTAGACATTAACAATGACAGTAGTATTCGTTGATCTTTAATTGATCAGAATGAAACTCACAAGCAGAAAGGAGTTTCCTTCCTAACCAGAGAATTTCGTCACTTCTGATCAGCAGTGTATTATCCGTGCACTACACTACTGCACTTCGATGATTGTCCCTTATTAGAGGAAGCCTAATCTTCCACTGAGAATTCTCGCGCTTGGGTTTGGAATGCATTGGGAACGTGCCGGTGTTTTCTCGGTCTTAGATACGTAGTGGTCAGGGTAACGAACAGAGAACGGCAACCTGATTTATGCGATCGCTCTACCAGCGCCCTCGTAACTCCGATTCTGGACTAAGTGCTAGACTGATAATCAAGCCCAGAAATACCGCACATTTCCCCCCTCTTTTGAAACCACGTACGACCGGCACTAATAACAGAGGCTTGCACGACTTGAAACTGACTTTCCACTGGGATCGCTGGGATATGCATCGTGGGGCCAGGTTCAGTGATAGCCTTGGTTAAACATCCCTGATTGGTTGAAGTTGCTGAGATCTGGCCTCATAATGATCGAAATTTTTCTTTCCAATTCTCTTGCCTGTTCTGATAAGAAAAAATGTTTGTGACGGATGCATTCTTACAGGCTTGAAGTGCGCCAGTAAAATTTTTGTCTGATGGCATCCACACATTACACGTCGATTTTTCTGAATGTAAATCTCAGTGTTCCGCCCTATCCAACAGCCGACTGACACTACATCGATTATCCGCATAGAAGAACTCACTAAGACATTATCTTTCCCGTATACTGAATGGTATGGTGAATTTTTTTTTCTGAAATCTGTAATTCAGTCATTAGTTAATTAAGGCTTTCGTACAGTATCTTCAAAGTGGACGACTATTTTTGCTATCGTTGAAACGGTGGTTTCTCTTTTGATTAGAAAGTTGTGTATAACCTGATGAAGCTTAAATGAAGACATAAACGTAAAAAAATATTGTATTAAGATTAGAGAAATTTAGAGAGAAAGGTATACTGTTATCGGTAAAATCATAATAATCACCGGGTCAAAATTCATTCAGAATGTACTTGTAGTGTATTTCACACACGTCTTTTAGTAATTTGCACCATTTCCCAATGCAAGATGCAGTCACAATACCATACTGATGCAATTTAAAACACTGAACAAGTGCTGTGGCTTAGCTGGGTAGGTACCGGCGTGGTTTGGTCCGTCTTTCGCTATGACTATGGTCACGCTGACGACTGGCGCTTCCCTGAAGTCGCACTGATGATGTTACTCGTACCGCAAACAGACCCCAAGTTGGGTTTCATTGGATAACAAAAGCCGAAGATCAGGTCTAAGACGCTTTTACGTTGGGTTAGGAAGTACTTCTTACCAACTTTCTGGAATAAGACCGAATAAGAGTGCTGCTGGCTCACCTGTCCGTAAAATGTGACTCGGAAGTAGGCAGCAAACAACCGATGTCCACTGGCCTCCGCACGACCAATTGCTTCATACGATCGCCCGATATGACGATAGACCTCGGACAGTGCTGTATAGTCCTGTCGAGCTTCATAGACCGGTATAACTAATGCGTAAACTGGACGAATCGCTTCAAATAGACCAGCAGCTTCCAGGGTGGCTGCAGCCTCATTGATATCCAGTAGTAGATCCTCCTACAAACAGAATCAATGGATTTTCTATCAGCAATTGCCAGTTGGAAACAAAGAGTTCATTAATGTCTCAATAGATATACCGGGTTATTTTCAAGGTGAAAATGAATGCGTCTCCCTGTAATGGGAACACAAAGTAGCTTTCGAGAGGATTCTGTTAGACTGCAGTAATGAGCATAAACCACAACTAGTCAGAAAGTATAACACATCTAATAAATAAGAGGTGTAATACCTATTATTGTCTCACGGAGCACTTTTAGGCTTACTGTGAGCATACTGAAACTTAAAATCTGTTAAAAGATTAGAAATGAAGTAGCTCAGGGAAACCTCGCGTGCTAACACGGAAAATTAAATCCATAATCAAAGACGGCTGATGCAAATGATATCATAATATGATGCTAGGCGATGGCACGAGAGCAAGAAAGGTACACAGCCGACTGTGTCGCAATTCGTAGGTTCAAACCCGGACTCCGTCGTTGCCATTCATTGCTGGATTACCCTCTATTGGCCACAACTCACCTTCTTAGGTATGTAGCACACACTCGCAGTACATCCAATCAACAGAAGAAGAAAGACTATTATTATTAAAAATAGATAAAAACCAATTAGGTGAACTTGAAATGTTTTTGAGACGTTTATGTGAACATGCTGAGTTTTTTAGGATTCCAAAGAAGATAAAGGAGATCCAGTTCATCATCATGCGAGTCCTATCGCCCCCCCCTCCCCCGACGTTCCATATATCTTCAAACGGTCACTCTGTTTTAATTGCTATGACCACTTTTATTGTGTGCAAACAATTCAAGGTTGTGAATCATCTAGAAACGATTTACCAAGAAAATCGACATGATTCAGTCTCAGATAGTTTGGGGTGGGGGCAGTAGCACGATATATACCTGAGTGTAAGGGATTTCTAATAAGGCCGAGTCTGTACGCAATCCATTCTCTTCCTGTGAGATGTTAGATGTGATTGCACTGAATGCTTCGCATCCCTGGGGAAATTCACCTGGTTTTGAAAAGAAGAAAACATAGCAAAGACTTAGGAAGATTAAGAATGATAAAAATAAATCAGGATCAACAGTGCATGAATGCATTTGTGTTGCTGAAGTATGGTGAGACAACATTCGGCATGGGTTAGGCTTCATCGGAAATACGGAGTGTACAATACACCCGAGGATAATAAAAACCAGTGCATAGATATATGGATGTATAGCGGTGGGAATATGAAGGGTAAAATCGATCAGAGCTTCAGCGAGGTTAGGCGAGAAAAACAATAAGGTTTAATTGAAATACACGAACGAGTTACTATATGATCGAACGTAACTGCGCACCACTTTCTACAGAAAACACCATAGGAATATAGAAGGCGTGGTGGTAGTGATTATGATGGTATTGGAATAGTGGGAATGCAGTTTCTTCGGTATTTATTGGTTTGAAAATCAATACAATGCTGTTACATTAGTGGTTAGGTAATAATTTCCAAATAAGATAAATTTGGTTTGATCATATGAATTCAACAAGGCAAAAAGGGCGTATATCTCTGGGGCAGATAAGTTCCTTAGTAAGTAAGTCATAGAACAAGAAACAATATGTGATGTTAGAGTCTAAAGATATCGTGGAAAGAATCACTTTGAGGAAGACAAAGGGAACACTTCCAAAGAAAACCATGCAGTCCGTTGTTTCTTGTTGCAGTTCACTGATTCAACTACTTTTCGGATAAGTAGTATGATTCGAAATCAAACTATTTCGTAGATAACCGTTGATCCACCTTCATCAATACGCGGTACGAAACATTTCCGCACCCACGAGATATTACTCGTGAGAAGATATCTTAATTGTTGAAGAAGCCTTTGACGGGATTTCAAATCTCACAATTTTTACCAGAGAAGAACAATGCTGATTGTTAAGAGAGCCATATCCTATGACTGGATTGCCGACGAGTGACTCGTCATGAAATATCGTAGAAACTGTTAATTGGGGACCGATTATCATATCAACTGTTGAGAGCGTTATCCCACATGGATTAATGAAAACGTGCATTTCAAACGCTGTAACAAAAGCTAAAACTGCATTTAAAGAGAGCAACGATTCCCCAAAGAAGAGCAACGGACATCGTTTATGGGTATCATTCGAACTGGCAAAATGAAGAACAAAGCAGCCAAGGCTACAAACCCGCTTGACATGAAAAGTGAGAACAATATTAATAAGCTTATGTGATTTAGAAGTTTACAGGTCAAGTTATATCAAGAGTGAATCAGACTGTGAAAGATCGCATGCAGATCTTTCGATCAAATCAAATGAAAATTCGCCAAACCACAGAGATCCCATTCACAGACGTGCAACAAGTGCTAAATCACAGATAGCATGTCAACTATGTATGCAACAGATGAGGGATGAAATGTCGCAATGAAGTGGTAAAGCTAAGGCGACTGAAAAGGATTCTCGAGTGGATCAATACGGCACAGACTAAAGAATATTGGTTGATGTTAACAGAACATGTAAATGGATGATCAAAGGCAAAAAACTCACTGCCCAATGCACCTAGAGATGAAAAGGAAACCAATGCATATAGCGAACACATACTTGAGATGTATGGAAGAATTCGGAAAGAGACGAGGCGGAGTGAATTAGAGAGCCCATAGTTCACGAAAACACAAGTAGAACAACGATAGTTATTTAAGCGACGCTAAAATGGTCATAACGCAAACGCTCGGAAGCAAAGTAGATCAATATCAAAATGATACAGTGTACAGTGTTCAATTCCAAGCAGTTCAGTAAAGAAGAAGTAGAAACCATTCTGAGATGTTACGATCCCTAAACAAATTAAATCACTTCTTTTGAGGAGGAGGAAATCCACGCATTGGGGATGGGGTAAGGTGGGGTTAGTTGTGAACCATAAACATGGTATGGCATGAAATGAGTGAAATTGATAGAGATCTTAACCGAACATCAGAACAACAAAAACAATATCATCGTCATCATCAAAAACAATGATCATATATGGAGAAAGCAAGAAAATCATCGACGCAAATTTTTCCACAGTGAAACCGTGATTGAAAACCAAAGTCAGTAGGGTTAGGCACGGCCCACTGCATATAGATGAGCTCTTTAGACTGTGAACGAATAGTTTACCTACGGAGAAGGCTGACGCGATTCGCCCGTATCGCCAAACTATTTTAAACATCTTGTACAGCTTCAGTGAATCCGTATAGCATGCAATAGTTCTGTGAGCAAAATTCTCAAATATAACACAAACGGTACACCGTTTTGCATTCACAAGCCCTGCAATAAACCTAAGCGATACCACAAAAAAGTAAATACACACCGTTCTGTATCTCCACTTAAAGCGAACTCAGTTCTTTAAATGTGTATAAATTACCAGACCGAGCATAATAAACACTGTTCCCAAACATTTACCCCAATTACTATCATTAGTTGAATAACGACACAATATCCGATATAATTACGACGACTAAGGCCCATGAATGACGGTTCTGTCTAAATCTATCTGGGAAAAGGTGGACTAAAGAGTACCATTAGTGAACCGTATTCTTGAAAATAATAATTTTTAGTTTATGGACGAGCACTGATAAGAAGACCGACTAGTGAGTAGGAGAAACACTGGGGTTCTTTAGTTCTGACGAGAACCTGACCGCATGCCGCGGCTGAGGAGAAAAGGATACCAATCTTCTTGAGTAAAATTACTCCCTAATCATCTTTTGTTATGTGATTCTCATCAATGAAGGAACGAGCGGTTTACGTCAAAACTGTAGTCTGAAAGACGGCAGTTTCGATCGAAAAGTTTAACTCATGTGGGAAGGGCAAGTATAGGAAAAACAAAAAATGGCCGACAGAAGGATTGACAACAGTAAGTACACAGTTAACATTAACGGTGAGGTATTCTTGTCATCCTAAAAACGTTTGATCTGATGACCAATCTGTTCTGTAGACCCAGCCCTCCCCAATCTTCTGTCACTACTGTTGTTGCATTGGCACCATTCTTGCTCTCGAGCGTTGTCATTATTATCATCATCATCATACAGCGAAATACAGTATATAAATATTTACCACCGGCTTGAAAACAAGCATAGTGCCAACGCAACAACAATGACAGTGAAGGGGATAGGTGGATTAGGATACAGAACGTGGTGAAAAGTGAGTGAGACAGTTAAACATGGAAAATACAAGATAACAGAATTTTTTGTGTTTCACCGTACACCTTTTGCAATTTTTTTTTGTTGTTTGATGTTTCGTTTTTCTTAATGGGCACGGGATTTCGATAGACAGATCGTACAGCATTCGCGCCACTGACTTCTATTCCAGGCCATATCTCTCAGCGTCTCTAACCATAGACAATCCTCATCCCTTGGGCCCCAACCTGGAAGGCGGGCTGCACCAACCGAAGCCAAAGCTGAAGCCAGCTTCTTCATGCCTCTAGCCCATGTCATGGTCTGACCGCCGCGCCGCTTCTTCCAGCCTTGCCCGGCACGTGCAAAGAGAGCACGGAAAGGTAGTCGATGGGCAGGCATGCGCAATACGTGACCCA